TTTCAAATGTTGTACCACTTGGCCACCGGATTTGCAATTGCTAGTAGTAGCCACGATACTTGCTCATGGCATGTTGAATGATGCACCATCAATTAGTGAGCGGCTTTGGATTGCGCTCACGGATCACTCCTGTGAGATACATATCATAGTGCTTGTGCAGTTGTGCTCATGGAACTAATCATGCACATTTTTCCAAACGATGGTGCCCCTTTGCTCTTGTTATGAATCTGAATAATTCTTGTGTCCAACCACGCATCAACCAACAATTCATCCTCCTTCAAGCTGAAACTTCTTCCCTTTTCTTTTTTGGGTTCGCACCCGACGCCTACATGTCCTCTGGATGACCATCTAACTGGTCGCCATTTCGCTGCTAGGTCTGCATCTGCCAGGTGTCCCGGATCTAGGTGTGCGTCTGTTGGGTGGCCGTCGGCTCCTGCTGGGAGTTTTCCACTTACCCGTCTTCACGGGCGGCACCGTCATGGATCATGTTCATCAGTGCCTGGTTGAGACATTTCGGAAAACATAGACTGGCACCAACAGGCGCGGAAGCCGACATCCACGAACAGACAAGCGTCGGCGACTGCAACTCCATGAAGGTGTACTCCACGTTGAGGTCAATGTTGTACGACACATGATGGTCAGTGGTGATGGTAGGCACAGGCTGCTGTCAGACCGAGTTGCGAGGTGACAAAGTTGTGTGGCAACTTTATGGTTGTATGCATCATATTGATGCAGAGGCCGGGGGCTTCAACCTCCTTTTCCAAAAACAAAACTGTGGATGGCGAAATAGGTGGGTACTGTGTTGGGCGGAGGTGGCGATCAAAACGGAGACAGTGGAAAAAAAGGTGGGCTTTCACACAAAAGCAATGTGTATCCATCCAAATGTGCGGCCTCTGGCTGGGTCACGGGTATTGGAGTCTGACATGGCAGCTGTGCAGATGTCCGTAAACCTCCCCTAGCTTTACTTTCATTTTGCGGGAATTCGAACATGCAGACCAGTCCGTGAACATTTGATGCATGGCGTTGGAGGGCACAAAGTGTTCGAACGATGCAGTTCGGATATTTAGCGGTGTTTAGATGGACGACGTTAGAGCTGCCTTAGCTCTCGGGTCTCTGCACCAATTTGCACATGGCGGTCACATCAAGCTAGGCATATCGACAGTAGACAAAAGAGAAAGCTAGGTGCGTTCATGGTCCCGGGCATCAAGGCTAGGTATAACCTGGTATATCAACACCACAAAGGAAAACGAGGAGAGATGATGCGGAAAAGAAGCGGGTACCTCGCCAGCGCCCGGAGGCATTGCAGTTGATGTGCTAACCAAGGCAACAAGTCATCAGGGGTCTGGAATCTTCCTTTTATGGATGCTCACATCACAGATATGTGACACTACAGAACTTCAAATGCAAGGTTGATTATTTAGGGCATCTCCAACACTTTGCTATGGCATCCGTCTGCGGACAGGGGGACCAATTCATGGACACGGATGCAGGAGGCGGCCATCCAACGCTACCCTCATACATTTCAACTACTGTTTGAACTAACCAGATGGAATTCATGCAAACACAGTGGATTTCATTAAAGTTTGGGTATACTTTACATAAACAGACGATTTAGTAAAAACTATATTAAAAAAACATAAACCCGATACTGGACGACAACCTTGTACGTGTGGCCGCTCTGTCCTGCCGCACTGCCGTCAGCGGCAACAGCATCGTCGTTGTCCCTCTGGTGGCGCAAGGCTGCCTGAGGACCGCAGTAGCCTTGTCCGGCGGCTGCCTGCTACTCGCGAAGGATCCGCTCCGCCTCCTATTGCGCGGTGGAGAGGGCCGCCTTAGCCACTGCCGATCACTCCTCGTCGTCGATCTTGGCGAGCTCGCTGTAAGGCGACGGCAACGCCAGGCGGCCGTCTATGCAGTGGTGACGGATCGGTTGAGCGCCCACGAGGCGGCAAGGTCAAGGTCGTTGCAGGCCCATTCTGGCGCCACATCTGTCTTGGAGAACACAGAGTGGTGACCGGCATTGCACTGGTCATACCTCGCCTGTAGCCTCGCCACATGCTCCGCCTCGGATACGACGACCCTCAAGCCGGAGCCTCGGCCATAGCCGTCTCCTCTGAGGTAGTGGAGGAGGCGGCCACGTGCCTTCGTGATCGCGGGCGGCAGCTCCTCCTTTATCCAGCGGCAGTGACGACATGGTGGTGACGAGGGCCCGTTAATCTGCATGTACCAGTTGTGTGGCGGGGACGACGTTGGCTCGTCCTTGACATGGCGGAGGCGCTGGGGGAAATGGGCTCCTTCTTCACGCGGCCTCCGATGTGGAGGCCACGGTTGTGCGGCAGGGACACTAGTTCGTCCTTCACCCGTCAGAGTGGGGATGCTGGCTCCCACTTCACGCGGATGCGCGTCGGTAACGGTGACTCCTCCTTCATGTGCGCCGGGCCCATCTGATGGAGCGAGCACTCCATCATGATCTCCATCTGATGGATGAATTCTTCGTCCATCAGAGCGGCCTCCTCAAGGAGACGGGGCCGCTGCTGCAGCTGCTACTCCTCCTCGTCGCCAGAGGAGATGACTATCTCCTCCTTGCCGGAGGAGTCAGCTAATATGGATGTCGATGGGCTCGGAGAGCGAGGGCGGCAGCGCCAAGATACGCCTGACAAGGAACTCCCACCGCCTCCGCCTACCGGCATGGAGAACCATGACTTCATAATCGCCGCTGGGCTGGGAGACGGTGACGGAGAGGGGGAGAGGGCGGTGCTTGGGGAGGGTGAGTGCGGCTATGTGCGTCGCCGAGGCACGGCTTAAATAGTCGTGTCCAGGACAGGGAAAGGGGTGATTAGCCCGCTTCAATGCGGTGTAGCTGCCGAAGTTGGTTTCTCGGGACGTGTCGTCCGCATTGAAGCAGCTGCCTCCGAGAGGTCACATCTGTCTGCACCACCTTCTCGTCCGTTCAAATCGCGGACATCAAAGCGAGCCGCTGCATACTCTAGGTCGGCATGAATGCGACGCGGCAAGCGGCGCGGGAGTTCAGTGGAAACTGGAAAGCGGGGAGAGGCGGGTGTGACTGTTTGGTGGGCCAGAGTAGTCAGGAGCGGGCGTGGCAGCGGTTCGGACGACCGCAAAGCCCCCTCCCCCCCACCCCACTTTTTCTATGGTTTGCGGGGAAAAGCATGTCCGGACCGCTCGGCGGACCGATACAGGCCGGCGTTAGATAGCACAACACATCCAGACCACTCGATCCAAACGTATGCGGACGGTTTCAGGGTCGGCGTTGGAGATGCCCTTACACCAGGAGGGACAACAAAAAGGATAAAACCATGCTGTAAATAGTGGTTAGTTCAAATTGGATTGTAAAATAGACCACTCCCTTCATTTCAAAGCAATTGTCATTAACTAAGTTTGTCCTAAGTAAAATTGTCTAAATTTGACCTTGCTTGTAGCAAATAATGTACCAACATATACAACACAAATTAGTTCTATTAGATCAATAATGAAACTTATGTTTATATTCTCTCTGTTTTTTTAGTCTTGTAAAAAATATGTTGATACGTTCTTCTAAAAAAACTTTAGAGAAGTTTGACTTAGGACAAGAATCTCATGATATATTTTGATTTTATTATATGTTTCACATGAGGCAAAGGAAGATCAGGGAGGATGTATCATGTGATGATACATTCCAAAAAAAAACATTTACTTAAAAATAGGCGCCAATCACCTTAGCCATGTTGCGAACCAACATGTGGTTGAGGTGGTTAGGTGGACAGTGGTATCCCCAACCCATCAGGGTTCAAATCCTGGTGCTCGCATTATTCCTGGATTTATTTCAGGATTTCCGGCGATGCGCTTTCAGTGGGAGGAGATGTTCCCGTAGAGGACGAGGTGCCTACGGTGACTTCGTAAATCTCAAGATCATATGCCGGTTCAGTCTTTCGGAGGTGCTCATAGGGGTAGGGCGTGCATGTTGCGTTCATAGGGTTGAGTGTATGCGCGTGTATATGAGCGCTTGTGCCTGTACTGATGCTCAAAAAAATCACCTTAGCCATGTTGAATTGCACGCACCACGCTTCAGCCGTTTCCAGCTCAAAAATCCAGGACCTCATATCTAACAGCCTCTCCACATGGTAGATAGATCATGCTATGTATAGTCCAAGCCACCAGGTGATGGTAACCTTATTACCTTAAGTACATGAAAGATGTGTATATGGGACAAATCTTTTCTATTCTTTCATTTTCACAAAGAAGTAAAGAACATGTCTAGCATCCAGATCCAAGGAATAAAGGGAACAAAGGAAAAGTGGGAAAGATGATAAAGGGGGGGGGAGAGAGAAGGGAATAGGACATGTACTAATTATCTTTTGCATGGTAAGGGTGCAGGGGTACGCGGTGCATTTGCAAATGCGCTAGACTGCCAGTAGTACTAACATAAGACACGTTTCCACCATAACCGCTCTTAGCACGCATGCTTGCAAACGGATGCTCAAGGTAACAATATTCTGGGACTCCAGCTGTCCGAATTGACGTCTCCAGCAGTCCGATTGCTACCCTTGTGTAAGGTAATTTCCTTTACTCCTAAACTAAATCTAATCTTGGTGGTACAACAATCTCTATTTCTCTCTCTTTTTTTAGTTGGAAAGTGCAACAATCTAGTATGAGTTGATTTGCTCGTGATGTTCTTCTATTGGTGGTGGATTATTTAAATACTTGTGATTGCAGCATAACACCATTGGTACTCTCTCCGTTCCTAAACATAAGTCTTTTTAGAGGTTTCAATATAGACTACATACGAAGCAAAATGAGTGAATCTACACTCTAAATACGTTTATATTCATCCGTATGTAGTTTATATTAAAATCTTTAAAAAGACTTATATTTAAGAACGGGGGAAGTACTTTGGTAGTACTGTACGTATTCTTTTTGCATGCTTGCATGCGTGTTTCTCAGCAACTTTAACTTGTGTTGATGTTGGAATATGACATGTGTGTGTGTATTTTAAGCAGACCATGGTCACCGGAAATTGCACCGCTAAAGCAACTGATGACTTCTCTAAGCACATAGATGGGCAGTTGCTGCGAGTGAACGCTCTGCTGGTGGCGAGCACCATCATGATAGGAGTTATGGTCGGGATGGGTGCCTATGGTCAGCGCTACCGCCACCATCCATTGACCAGCTTCCTCTTCCTTGGTGCCAACATTTTGTTCCTGCCCCTCCTCTCCTATGTTGTCTCTACCATCGGTAATGAAGACCCTGTCGCTCTTTATTCATCTGATCTACACATCATAACAGGGTGGTGTGACCCACAGGACCACATCATCTCTGTCTTGATGTGGGCTAGTCTTGTTCTGATTGCTGCCGTCAACACCACTGCCGTAGTTGCTGGTGATGATGACAAGAAAGGCCGAAACATTGGCCCTCCTGCCACAGTACTGCTTATTCAAGCAATATGGACTTCCTACCTTACCATTGACTTCCTGGGAAAGGGTTATTATACAATGCAAAAATGGTCCTTAAAAGTGGTGGCGCCTGAAGACGTATTGATCCTTCTTTCACCGTTTGCTCTTATTGTTGCCAAACTACTTATCAAATATTATGCTTGGTACAGTGCAAGAGGGTCATTAGCGTTTGGGCGCAATTCTCACCTCATTGTTGGATACATGGAGCAGCTAAAAGATGAAAGCCCACATGCTGAGCTGGCCCTTCCTCCACTCATAGTTACAGGAGAGGACACAACACTGGTACAGAAGGAGCCTCATGGTTATAGTCTCAAATGGTTATTCAACCAAGCTGACAGGACAAGGATAGACAACAACGGCTTAGTGACCATTGACAAAGTTTGGCGGTTGGAGGATGACATACTTCTGAGGTCTTCAATGAAGCAGTTGAAATATTTATGTTTCTCATTTGCGTTGTTCAAGCTCCTAAGATGTCGATTCGCAAGCCATACAATTGCTGAGACTAGTATCATCAAGGCCCATAACTTATTGCCACGCGTGTTGCTCCAAGATGGTGATGATGAAAGAGCAATTGAGGTGATCGCAGATGAGCTTTGTTTCCTTCATGATTATTATTATTCATCTCTCCCAACCTCATACTCAAGGAGTTGGCTGCCCATTTTAAGCATATCTATTTCACTCCTAAGCATGGGTTGGAGCTTATTCTATATATTGGAGATAACTTTTGCGAATGTGGGCTATACTTCATGGGGATCATGGACATGGAATGACCACCGACAGATTCACTGTCAAATGTATTGTGATTCTGGGATCTGGTTAAAATATGGAAGTACTTACTTCGATGATGCACCGGTGTTTTTACTTGCGGCACTAGTTGTGCTTGCTGAGGTGCGGGACATTGCTTCTTACATCTGCTCTAACTGGACTAAAGTAGTCATGATCTGCCACTATGTTAGGCATGCTTCTTCTTGGCAACAATCACCTTGGAAGAAGAAGTTACTTGGTCGTCTGTTGCGCTGCAAATGTAGGCTGCTAAAGCATTGGGAGGACAAAATGAATCAGTGCTCAGTATTTGCGCTCCACCCAAGCTCAACTCCAGTGGCTCTTCTCCGGCGCTTAATCCCTCTTCTTTACAGGAAGAAGGTACCAAGAGCGGTGAAGACCGCTATCCTCAAGCCATTGAGAAGCCCCAGTTATCGCCCAAGCAATGGCGTGGCATCCCTGTGCACAAGACTACATCTACAGGCCGGCAACAACCCCCTCTCGGCATCCAGTGACGTGAAAGGTGTAGCCTCTACCATGCTCGTGGTCCACATTGCCACGAGCATCTTGGAAGAGAGATCGGAGTCACACCAGCCCGAGTCTGCTCATGAGACGGTTGCCACACACTTGTCACACTACTGTGCCTACTTGGTGGCCTACGCCCCCGAGCTACTCCCCGACGACAACCAGTGGTGCAAGAGCTTGTACAGGGCCATCCAGAAGGAAGCCAAACATGCAATCGTGGTTGCTTGCCGCGTCGGGGTGGCGTTGAATCCTGAAGGGCTGTCACAGGCGCTGAGCGCAGGGTCTGAGGCGCAACACGACCTGCTCAAGAATGGTGTAGAGCTCGGGAGGAAGCTGCTCAAGAATGGCGCCGAGCTCGGGAAGAAGCTGGTGGAACTGGCAGAGGGTGAAGGAGAAGAGGTGGCCTGGGAGGTCCTCGCCAACTTCTGGTCCGAGATGATTCTTTATGCCGCTCCGTCAGACAACGTCGATGCTCACGCAGAGGCCATTGCGCGGGGCGGCGAATTGATAACGCTCATTTGGGCATTGCTCACCCACCTTGGGGTCGTCAGCCGGCCAGAGGCCGCTCCTGCCATGCCTAACGCTCCTAGTGATGTTTAACTTTGGTTTGAACTCAATATTTTTTTATTTTTTTGATTGATCTTGATTGGTGTGGTGTGCTGAGTGCTAGCTATTCTAAGAAACATTGTAATATGGATTTTTTTTTTTGGTTTTTGTTATTCATCCCGAGCTCATTTG